GGGGAGCTTCCATTGCGCACTGACTGCCCCCCGCCCCGCACCCTCATGTCTTCACAGAGTCCGCTGACATGGGGGGCTCCTGGTCAGGGACTCCGACCGACGTCCTGATCCCAGCCCGGTTCCACCACCACCCACTCCCTCCTCCCCCTGCCCCGGGCACCCCTACCTCGTTTACCCTCTAAGGAGGCCTCCCTCAGGCTCCGCCCTCTCACCCCTCCAAGGCCTCCCCCTCCTTCAGAACCAGGAGGGTTCTGGCCTCTGCTTTGGACTCCGGGTTTGGGGGTGTGCCAGGTCAGAGGGCGGGGGTGAGACTGCCCACCGGCAGGCCTTTCTCCAGGGGGTGTGAGTTCAGAGGGAGGAGGCTAATGTCTGAGAGCCTCCCGCACAACCACCTAAGCGTCCTCCCTCCAGGCAGAGCCTGGCTGCCTCCCACTCTCTCTTCTTCTCGCGTCTGGAAACTGTTCAGACTTGGGGACCGGCTCCCACTTCACGGTCTGATCCCCGCTACAGCCCACTGCCGGCGCTCCACACAACCGCCCTCTTACCTCCTCCCCGTGTCTTCAGGGAGGCCCCTGAGGCTGTATGGGAAATGCTGCGTGTGTATTTGTGTGTGTGTGCTTGGTTTTTGGTTTTTAATATTTTTATTGATTTCAGAGAGGAAGGGAGAGGGAGAGGGAGACAGAAACATCAGTGATGAGAGAGAATCATCGATCGGCTGCCTCCTGCACGCCCCACACTGTGGATCCAGCCAGCAACCCCAGGCATGTGCCCTGACCAGGAATCCAACTGTGACCTCCTGGTTCTTAGGTGGATGCTCAACCCCTGAGCCATGCCAGCCGGCCCGAGTGTGTATTTGTTTTTGAGACGCGCTGTCTCTGGTGTGGTTGCCCCCCATACAGTGGCTCTGGATTCAGGCACTGGGGACTCAAATCCCAGCTCTGGCATTGAGCTGTGACCTTGAGCAAGTTATGCAACTTCTGCAGAAGCCTGTCTGTAAATGGTGAAAAGAAAGATATTTGCATCCCGGATTGTTAAGAGCAATGGCACCCTTAGAGCTGGGCGACAGGGGCCTCCACCCAGGGCCCCTGAGTTTAGGGGGCCATACTCTTCCCACTGGGAAGGGGTTCATGGGACAGGAGCGGGTGGCCATGCACCTCCTCCTAGACCATGCAGCATCCTCTCAGGGCTGACCCGCAGGTGTGCACCCACAGGCGAGGGCAGCGTCTGCAGGCACTGGGGGCTGATGGGTCGGCATGCGGGGCAGCGTTCCCAGGATGCCCCAGAGCCTTCCCTCGGGCCCGGAGGAGCATGGGCCATCATGGATTTTGGACCTGGTCTTAAAATTAAGGCCGAGAAACGTTATCAAGGCGGGGAAGGGGTAATAGGTGAATGCTAACACTTTTGTTGTTGTTGTTAATCTTACCCGAGGATACTTTTCCACTGATTTTTACAGAGTGCAAGCAAGGGGGAGGGCAAAGAGAGAGATTATCGATCGGTTGCCTCCTGCACGCACCCCAACCAGGGCCAGGGATCGAGCCTGCAACCAAGGTACTGCCCTTGACCATAATCAAACCCAGGACCCTTTAGTCCACGGGCCGATGCTCTATCCACTGAGCAAACTGGCTAGGGCTAAATTTGAACACTTTGATATTTAATCTGTAACTTATATTTAGACATCTATGTCATTTCCTTTTGTACACTTGCCAGGTCAGGGATACATCACAGTGGCCCTGGCTCTGGAGCCTGGCTGAGCTGTGACTGCATGAAAGGTGCCGGCGGCTGCTGGGCACAGCGCGGGTCTACAGTCCATTGCAGTGCTTAGACCCTCAGTGCCTGTGGCCCCACAGGCTCACCCTCTCCCTCCCGGGCAGCCTCGGACATGGGATCCGCAGGCCAGGCCGGGCACCCGCGCTGCCACTTTATTTTTACAGCAGGGTCATGTTTCTCAGAGCAGAAGGTGAGGTGAGACGGGCGCAGAGCCAAAGGGAAGGACAGTGACCCTGCCCTGAGGGGGGGTGGGGGCAGAGCTCCCTGATGCCTTTATTTTGTTTTGTGTTTGTTTCCTTGTTCACCCTCACCAGGAGACATTTTTCCATTGTATTTCTCATAGCAACTGTTTGCCTCCTGCACGCACCCATCTGCCCTACAGCCCAGGTATGTGCCCTTAACTAGGAATCAAAACTGAGACCCTTCCGGCAGCGGGCCGGCGTCTAACCACTGAGCAGCTGGCCAGGCCTCCCTGGATACCTTTAGATCCTGGGCAGGAGAAGGTGCCCGTTCCGTCTGCCCCCACCGCCCCTGCTGCCTCACCGTTCACCAGTTCTCAGCACCACTTCTTGGGAAACCCACACGCCTCACAGATGAAGAAACAGGCAGCGTGTCAGGGCCCGGGGCGGCGGCTCTTACGGCTCTCACATTTAGACCACCCTGCTGTCTGCTCCGCTCCCCAGCCTCCAGCTCCATCAGGGGCCACCACGGTGGGGGAGATGCTTGGGAAATGCATTAGCAGCTGGAGAATTTTTATTTATTTGTGTGTGTTTTTTAATCTTTACTGTTGAAAGCATTACACAGGCCCTCCTTTCCCCCATTAGCCTCTTCCAGCCCCTCCCACCCCCTGCACCCCCCACTCTCCCCAGCCCATTGTCTGTGTCCAGGGGCGGTCATCTATGCACACAGGTTCATTGGTTGATCTCTTCCCACCCTCCCCTGCCTTCCCTCTGAGGTTCAACAGTCTCCTCATGCGTCTATGGCTCTGGGTCTGTTCTTGGTCATCAGTTTATTGGGTTCATTAGAGTCCACATGTGAGTGAGATCATGGGATACTTCCTCTGACTGGCTTATTTCCCTCAGCACAAGGCTCTCCAGGCCCCTCCATGCTGCTGCAAGTGGTAGTAGATCCTTCTTTTTTACTGCTGCGTAGTAAAAAAGTGTAGATGCTTTTAATCCACTCATCTGCTGATGGGCACTTAGGCTGTTTCCAAGTCTTAGCCAGCAGTTAGAGAATTTTTACATTTATAGAGCACTTTCCTCAAAATTTCTCAAAGCACCTGTCCACTGGGCAAGCGTGGAAGATCCTCCTGAGGGTGCTGGGGAGGGGGTGCCCAGGGAGGGGGTGCCCAGGGAGGGGGTGCCAGGGAGGGAGTGCCAGGGGAGGGGGTACTCGGGGAGGGGGTGCCCGGGGAGGGGGCAACAAGAGGTCAGCGTTCCTTCTCTCCTGCCTTTGGGGAGCCCTCCCAGAGTCGGGGTGGGAAGGAACGTTGGGGCGCCTTGCCCCCTTTCCCTCCTTCTACTGAAGTCCCTTGTGGGTGGGAATGCTGACTTGGACACAGCCCCCAGCTGCTCCCGGACCAGCTTGATTCTTGGTGATGGGACGTGCAGCCCAGGTCTCAGGGGAACTGGCTCAGAAATAACCTGAGAGGCATGTTTTCAAGGATGTGGAGGGGTCGCGCCCAGGAGCTGTGGGGCTCAGGCTGGAGGAGAGAG